TCCCGGCCTGACTGCGGTAGTCGGCCCTTTTGTAATAATGATAGAAGTGCTCACTACCTGAATGCTGACGAGTTAGAAACCAGGTAAATGCACACGAGATTCCATATCGTTGTCGAGCCGCTCGAGTAGTTCATTGTCGAGTACTCTTGGCAGGGGGAGTTCAGGGATGAGTTTCTCTGATGGGTATCTGAAGCTGTTTGTAACGTTATGGATCTCAAGTATATGTATATGACGTTAGGAAGGCTCAGTACGAGATCGAGCATGAAGTTGATGTTATGATGACCACTGAAGGCCCTGACCAAGTAGAGGCCGAGATGGACGGCTTCGGTGAATATGTTACTAAGAAGTGGCTAATTGTGCATTACACTTTCCTCGGCGAATATCAGAATGGTTATTCTGATTGGGGTTATGCGCAGGTTGGCTATGGCCCATCTAGTGAGTGGCTCCGTCACGCTGGCTTCCAGGACTTCCAAGCCACTCCAGAGCAGTCCACTGAACTGGAGCGTCATTACAAGAAGACTCAGAAGAAGGCCGATAAAATCCGCGACTCGGCATCGGATGCGTGATTGATGCAGTCCTGATCTCAATCTATAGCTATTGGCATCGTTTACTGCCCATCCTTGAGTGACTCTGTTCCGAGTTCTGTATGGATGGCTGTTTGTTTAAACGATCAGCTCATCCGATGCGTCCGTGAGGCGCTCAACTAAGTTCTGTTCTTGCTATGTTCAATGCCGATATTCAGGCCAACTCTCGCTATGTAGTGGAAAATGTTTCTCCAAAATTTGGAGTCCAAATGATCCAATATAGGTGTTGAGGTTTATGTAAATGTTGAACAGTAGCATCAACGCGATATACATACCGAATCGGATAGCCCTCAGACGGGATCTGAGATTGTTTTGCAACAGGGGGAGTCTGAGAGACTGGTAGTGAACATGTTCATCGCGGATAGTTCTGCCCTTGTAAGTGATCGCCCTTGACCAGTGATACCCGACACTTAGTTCTGTGACCTTGAGATGTGACACAAGTAAGCCGCTGCACAGGAGTCCTGATTCAGGACCATGTCATGATCGTGTGCACGGAGTTGGCAGTAGGGAAGACGGCATGTAACGATGGAATAGATAGCGGAGTCATTACGCACCTCTCGACAAGCAGTGAGTGTGACAAGCCTATTGACCGTACAGATGTATGGTGACCCATCCGATGCGTCGATGAGGCGTTCAATTAAGTTCTGTTCTTGCTTGATTTAATTCCGATATTCAGGCCAACCCTCGCTATGTCGTGCAAGATGTCTCTCCAAATGATCCAATATAGGTGTTGAGGTTTATGTAAATGTAGTGTAAATTTATTTTTGATCGGTCGGAGTGGTCTGAGAGACGCAAGAACTCCTGGACTCCTGCGCCCCCGCTTGGACCAGAGGCTCTACCACGACGAATTTAAAATATGCCGGCTCACAAGCATTTGAATATGCGGGCTCGAAATTTGGAAGAAAGAACCGCCATTCACAGTGAGATAGTCAGCTACAAAAGCTCGACTGACGTGAGAGCAAATCCTCAAATCAAACGTTGAATTTCAAAGGCCTAGGTTATCGTCCTGCTTTTGCCGAAAAAGTAAAGTATCAGGCTTCGAGCTCGGTCTTCGATGAGGATGCTCCGTTCTGACTAGTTTTTTAGATATTAGTTCAACTAATTTAGTTGTTCAGTAATATCACCGACGTCTTTCGGGGGGCTTGCCTTTCCAACAAGCTGTGATCCATCCTAAAGACTCGTATTAACTTGATGTTGTATGATGAACCGTCAAGTTAGTGGAGCCTGACCTCATAACCTCATGGAGGTGGTGTTCTTAATAGGAACTTCTTATTCCACTTTTTCAATTTGAAAATTTCTAACTAGTTAGAAAACTGTTGAGCAATAGTGAATACATTCCTAGTATTGCGGTACACACCGAATCAGGTCTGCCATACGAATGTGAGACAGGCGCGAATGGTTTGTTCAAAATGCCTTAGTGGTACGGCAATGTTACCGTGGTAGTTCTGTGTAATAACTGGACCAATACATAGTGATTAGTACCAGTGGCACTGTACTACCGCAGAACTATAGTGTCACGAACCACGACGCCGTCGTAACGACGGCAAATCTTCGTCAACACTTCTCTCAAAAGTATTCCTGAGTTAAGTCACTCAACGAGACTAGCTAGCACGGTGCTAGTAGCACCTACTGATCAGCCCCACCGTAGTATTGATGAATAGTCTAGGCCAGTCTGACTAGCACATGATAACACCACTGAATATTTTACATATCTCTTGTTCGTGCTCAGTTCATGTGGATCGTGTAACGCGATT